TTTATGCAGGCTTACAGAGGCTGGACAGCAGGCAGAACGCTGCTATCACTCCACAGATTGGGGGGCAGGGTTTTTTTTATTAGGTGTCTGATAGAAAATTCATGTTAGGACACCATAACAAACCAACCCAGCACACAAAGTTCAGTGTTGTGCTTTTCTTCTGTTAGGGTGACTTCAGCCAAGGGAGGCACAGGGGGAACTCTTCTTCCTCCTCGAAGCAGGATCTGGCCTTTCTTCCCTCTCAGCAAAGGGTGAGAGTGGCAGCTCAGTTACCAAATGCTACAGGCACTGCTTCTGTGCCCAGTTCTGGGCACTGCTAGCACTTCTGCCTGCTGGAGGCTTGCACGTTGAAGAGGCGCTTCAAGAAGTAGAGCTGCAGCACCCCGGAGAGAACAATGGCACAGCTCTGAGCCATCGACCACCAGTTGATGTACTTGTAGTTGGACTCCAGGAGGAAGGAGTCGGACGCTTTCCGCATCCGGGCAAAGTTGTAGAACCGCCACATGTGGAAGATGTGGAGCTGCAGCTTCTGGGTGCTGACCTGGGGGAGAGGTGGGTGCTCAGCAGTGGGGCTGCAGCTGAGCCTGGGGCTGGCAGAGCTGCTCTTGGAGCTGACCACTGGGCTCAGCATTAACTTAAGCTGCAGCTCAGCCAACAGCAAACACCCTTTTTAGTTGCCTTGGGAGAACCTGCTTGTCCATGCCTGTCCATCTCTCTGCGGGAGCACCCCACAGACACCTTCACACTCACCCCAATTGCCTCCAGGGTGTCATTCAGTTCTTTCCTCTCTTCCGGCTGCTCGTTGTCTGTGTTGAAGCCTTCATAGTAGATACCAAAGTTGAGATACACCTGCATGAAGCCGAAGTGGTTTTGCTGGTTGTTCAGGCAGAGCTGGTAGAAACCTGTGGAGAGAAATGGGGATTGTTGTTCCCTGAGCAGAAGAGCTGCTGCCAGGCAGACTAATCCCCAGCACTTGAACCTCATCCTCCCCACTGGGGAGGGAGGTGTGATCAGACCCATCAGTGCCTTGGGAAGTGCTGTCTGCCCCAGCAGGCTCGGAGCTGCAGCTGGACCGGGGCAGCGGGAACCTTTCTCCTTGGTGAGGAAGTTGATCTGTCCTCGCACGTGCTGGGAAGCACCAAGCTGGAAGCCGCTGGGGTCGCTCGCTGTGACCAGGATGTTCCTGTTGTTGCCAATTCCCGTTGCACGCTGGACCTGGAGGCAGGAAACACCCGAGGGATATTCATGGGCCTGATTCTGAGTCCAGGAAACAGACAGGAGCCCAGAGGAGCTTTTGTGTGCAGGGCGGGTACCCAGTGGAGTCCAGCCTTTACTGAGGGTTGGTTTGTGGTCCATGGGGAGCTGCCCCCTCCATTGCTGTGAGCTGAGGCCAGGAACAGCCTCCAGTGAGCTGCCAGCTACACGTAAAAGAACCCCACAACCTATAGCTCTGGGTGGTGAACCCCTGAGCTCCCAATGCCTGCTCATGGTCCTGTGGGCGCATGCACGCACCCCCTGTCACCCGCTCCAGCTCCCTGCTGCCTGGATGGGGTGCTCCCAGCACTGCTGCTGGTGCTGGAGTGGTGGGAGATAGAGCTGTACCGAGACTCAGGACAGTGCCATGTTCCTGCAGGGCTGCTCTGCAGCACTGGGCATGGCCATGCTCCTGCTCTCCTTCAACCAGCCTAGTGTAAACAGGAGATGAAAGGGCTGCTGTTTTCCCTGTGGGAAGGGGACAGAGTGCTAGGACAGGTACGAACGGCTGTGCCTGAGACATTTGGCGCACCTTCCAGCTGCAGCTCACAGAGCCAAGGGCCCTGCAGCAGCCTTCAGCCAGCCCAGCAAAGGGTAGAGCTCCCCACAGTGCCAGGGCACCCCACAGGTCTCTGCATGCTCAGTCACCATGTCCAGAGCTCTCAGTGCTCCTTTAAAACAGGTATTTAAAAAAGGAAATGGGATTTATGATGAAAATTGCCTAGAAAAAGTATAGTCCCTGAGGTGGAACACAAGTAACTGCAACCATTCCTGTCTCAACTCAGGACCTTCCCTATGCAAGGCAAACCCCCTCTGCCCTGGGGGTGGTGGATCTGGAGTTTGGCCTGAGTCTCCCTTCTGCACATAAGCCTGGTTGTAAGACCATGGCAAGGGAGGAATTCCCACTGCAGGACCCGCCGCACCCTTGGACAAGGCAGTGGCCAGCACTGACTGGAGCTGCAGCACTGGACTAACCTAGCACAGCCATTCCTTGACCCCATCATCAGCTGCACAGCTTCCCAGGATGCATCCCACAACACTCACCTCATAGCTGAAGAAGAAGTTCCCATTCTGTTGTGCAAACTGCCAGAAGCATTCCATGGTGCCTGCAGCGATGATGATGGCGAAGTCATAGCGATCCGCCCCATGAAATATGGGGTCCTGGCTGGATCTACTGAGGGGCTCAGTCCTGGGGCAGCTAGCGGGGCCCAGCAGAGCCAGGAGCACCAGCAGCAGCATCCTGCTTCCCAGCCTCCCGTGCTCCCTCCACCTAGGGCACAAGTGGGGACTGGAGGTGTCAGGGATAATCATTAACTGCTCCATAGCGGCACCTTGGCAGTGCCGGAGCTGGAGTCAGGGGAACAAGGCACAAGCTCTGCTCCTAAAGGTGATCTTGGAGCAGAGCAGGGGCTGGTCCAGCTCATCCACCTTAGAGCTCACCCAGCTGAACCCTCTGCAGAGGCTGAGGCTGCTCTGAAGAAGCTCCATGGTCACCAGCAGCACCGAGCCAGTCCGCAGCCAGCCCTGCTCCTCACTGACCAATGCTCCACCAGTCTGCGTCCCGTGAATAAGAAAATTAAACAGGAAAAGTGTTTTACCACCAGGAAAAGCACCCAGCCATAAAGTGGGTCTGTGGGGGAATGTCGTTCCTCCATGGCTCCTCCCTGCATTGGCTGCAACACCTTCCCTGCACAGCCAAGGGCAAGAGCCTGGTGCAGAGAAGGGAAGAACAGATGAATACATCTCTCTCCAGCTGGGCACAACCGATGAGCATTGCTTCACAACAGCAACTGCTGCTCCAGCTTGTGGGTCGCAGCAAGTCTCTGCAAGCGCAAGGTGTCCCGTCCACCCAGGGCTGCTCTGACCCCGGGGGAACGTGGTTTTACAAGCAGAAGGAGGGGGAAAACACGCAACCACAGCAGGTGACGAGGCAGGCTTGGTCCAGCAGCTCCTGGTGAAGGACAGACGGGAAGCAGGTGTTTCCAGACAGGCTTCTCCCAGCCCCGGGCTCTGCAGGAAAAATCCTTTTCGTAAATACCCTCATGCCTCCCCTGCCCTTTGACTTCAGCAGAAACCTCGTCCAGAAGCTTTGGCTCCAGGCAGCACCTCGGGGCATCAGAGTTCCACCCCAACCAGCTGCTGACCCAACACCCCCAGTCCCAGCTCAGGAGGCAAAGGGGGAGCCCCACATTCCTGGGGTGCTGCCTGCCCCAACTGCCGCTTTTCCATCCGTAAGGTATGAGCTCACACAGCTCAAGCCAACCAAGAAAAAACAAACTTTATTTTATGGAAGACTGCTAGGATGCAGGCTCTGGCTTTGGCTGCTGGAATATACAATGTCCTGGGCACCCATACCCTTGCAGGGATTGCACACCAGCAAGAAGTGTCAGGAAGACATGGCCCAAGCCAGTAAGTACTGGAACTTTCAATATGGGAACAACCAACAGTTAAGTACTAAAATACACAATTATGTTTTTTAAAGCCTTAAACCTGGGAAGAAGAAATTCTCACTCCCAGGCTTGCTGCTGCTAAAAGCAGAAAGAAATGTGAAGAATGAAAAATATCTAAGAAGACCACTTGTCTCAATCTCCTCCCCATAAGCTGTAGGGATACACGGTGCCTCCCACCCACAGAGGACTGAGCACAAATGGATAAAACAAGTGACTGACAGTTCAGACAATTAAAACACAGAAAAACAGCACCTGAGGGGATCATCCTGCCATTTGACAGCATCTGAGCAGAGAAAACACTCTCACTTCAGCAGCCCATGAGGCTGGGATTCATTCTGCAGAGGCTGCAGCTGTCAGGAGAAGGAAGTCCTAACCCAGGCCATTTCCAAGCATATGCTATCAAGCCTGCACAAAAACTAAAACCTGCAGCTACAACTCAAGCCTCGTAGGTTCTTGTCACACATGGTTTCTGTCTGCTGCAGCAGTCTCAGGTGTCATGGGCCCCCAGGCGCTCACCACACACACATCAGGGATAAGCACAGCAGCCTCCTCTGCTGTGATGCTCCAGTCCATCTTTCAAGAGAAAAAGGTTTTTGCACTGGAGGTCCTGTGGCTCCCAGCTTTAGAGGATTCCCAGTTTTTTCATGGTTCGCCAGCGATCCTTGATCATCACAGCTGTGCGGTTCTGGAAGGGGTATTTCTGGCAAATGGCCTTCCATCTCCCTTCTCCAAACTTCTGCACGCCCTCTTTGATCCACTCGCTCTCTTCCACCGTCCATTTCTACAAAAAAAATGGCATATGAAGCACTCTGTGAGTACAAAGTGCAGCTTCAGAGTAGCACTGGCAGAGAACCACATGGTAACTCCTCCCATGTGTGTTAGCTCCCCTTTAGTATTGTGTAGGAAAGGCACAGATATTCTGTTAACAGCACACACCACACTCAATCACTCCTTTGTGGATGTGATTGCGTACCTGTTACACGTAAGAGAAGTGCTCAGCTCTAGCAGAGTGCTACGTGCTGTACAGCAGCACAAAAGCCAGCAACTCTCTTACAAGCCAGGCTGAGATTTCCCAGCAGCATCGAACTGGAGACCTCTTCCCAAGCAACAGCTGCTGTATGTGTGTCCCTCACCTGAACAAGATGCTGAACCTCTCCAGCATGTGGGGAACCCAGCAAACCCAGCTCTGAACCATGTGCATCAAGGAAAAGGACTTCATGCACATACTCAGTGCCTGGCACACAGCTTTACCACCTACCAAACTGGGTTGTTTTAACAGAGAAACTCCAGGCAGCTCTGTGAATGCAAGGGCCTGCACAACTTGGATCAAGCCTGGACACCACAAGCACCAGCCTCAGGAAGCACTTTCTAACCCAGCCTCCTCATTTAAAGCATGGCAGCAGCTCGCCCTGCTGTAGTGAACTGCAGGCTGCTGAGGAAGCAGTCTGAGCCGCAACCCCCGCCAGTGTATTTCAGATTGTCTGGCAGTTTGCTCTTCCTTGCAGACATATTCTGATTTTGGGCCTTACTGAAAGGACTTAAGGGATCCACATTACCTGTTTCTTGGAACCGAAGACTGTACTATTGTGGCTGGCTGTCTCAAATGATGCTGGAAAACAAGGCAAGAGGGTTACATTTCACCTTAACTCAAGAGGTACAGACCTCCTTGAGATACTGCCTTGGGCTTAACAGCTGAAACACACAGCCTACAATGAAAGCATCCCATGACAGACAAACCAAACTCCTTTATCCCTCCATTTTCTGCAGCCACAGCTTACTCAGCCTGTTTCAAGCCCCAACTGTTTCATGTGAAAACTTTCCAGTAAGATCTGTTTTGTTTTAGACTAGCCAGAGCAGGGGCATCCATCCAGGATGCAGCCACACTGTACATTGAAGCTGGAATTAGACACCCATTGTCCACTCCTTTTCACCAGTTAAGCTGCATATCTAGCTGCAAAAATGACTGAACAATTGATCTGGCTGAAAAGGTAAACTGAACCTTTATTTCATGGCACTGAAGTGAGAATGGGGAAAAAGCTCTGTTTCTGATGTTTACATGCTTTAAGCTAAGCATGATTAATCTGAGACTGGAACAGGCAGCTCAGGCACACATTTCACGCAGAGGTACAAAGAACAAATATCCCAGAGCTATACAGTTACCTGTTTTCCTGCGTTTTCAGAATTTCTGGTTTCAAAATTCAGTCACACAGAAAGTAGCAAGACACCCACAGATGAGCCCCACAGCCAGCATTAGCATCAATTAACACCCACAGGAGGGGCTCTGTTCTTACCAGCACCCGGGAAAAGCTCATCCTCCTCACTCCAACTCTCTTTTTCTTCCAACCCATATGAGCTGTTCCACTTCCCTCTGAAGGACCTGAAAGCAGGCAAGCATTTACTTTGGCTGCTGGCTAGGGAGAATGTTTTTAGAGGAGAAGGTAGGGACACATAGAGCACACAGCAGGCAAGCCTGTAATGAGGGCACAGCGCAGAATGCCCATAAAGTGATATATAAACACACTGCCACCTCCTCCACTCCCTTCTGAGGGGGGATGAATCCTTAGCAGCCTCATTTGAAGGTACAGAGTGCTATACGTACTCAATACAGGTGTACTATTGTATTTTGTAGCCAGCATTAGCAAAAACAAGTGAGAACGTATTAACTACACAATGAAGAGCTTACAGCAGACACAGAGCTGGACCTCCCAGGCACAGACTTGCCAACAACTTGGGGGAGAAGCCTTTAGACTTCCAAAGGAGCACTTAATTCTTATTGTTTCACTGCTAACACTACTGAGGTCAGCCAAGCTACAGAGGCCTCTTGGTGAGATCGAGTGCCTCAATGCTGTCACCTGCTTCCAATCCTCAAGCAGAGACTTGTGAAATGAAACTAAGTCTGTTAAAAAAAGACTTCTAAAGGTTCACCCAAGGATACTGCATCAAATATAATTGAAGCCACTTGGAAATAACTGTTCTCTGTTCTTATCTGAGGTTGCACTCTTGAACACTTCTGTCTCGCACATAAACATTTCTGAAACAGCCTCTGGCAGAGATGCACAAAATGAAATTTCCAAACAGATGTCAGCACCACTGCTACCACAAGTCCTGACACAGAAAGGCTTCAAGACAAGACATCCACACAAGCAGCAGAGACAATAAATCACTTCCCAGGTGAACTGGAAACCAACTTGAACAGCGTCAGGGCTTGAAACTCATGAACTGCCTACACCAGCAACAGCAGCCCCATTCTGGACTCCTTCTTGATCTGGCACCACCCTCACTTTAGCTGGCACAGGATGGGAAGGCATCACATCCATCTCTGTGTCCGGCCCCTTCCCAGGGCAGTCAGGCACAGCACATGGCCTGGATGAGTTCACAAAACATCATCCTATTCTCATAGGGTTCCTCAGCACTCTCAGAATAAACTCCAGACACCCTGGGACAGCAACGTCAGCTGCAATGTATTACCAGAAAAAAAAAACCCAAAGGTAAAAGCATTGTCACTCACAAGTCATTGGAAGAGCAGGAAACTTATCAACTAAAATTCCGCCATGACTCTAAGACAACAGCAGGGTAGAAACCCCTTCCCAGCATCATCTCTGACAGCTTAACCCTGAGCAATACACACCAGCAAGAGATTTCACCACTGCTTCCACAGATGCCAGCTGCACTGCAGCACAACTCAACTTGTGGCCACTCTCCTGTGCTTCAAAGACAGTCACCTCCAAAGCAGCCAAGCAATGCAGAACACCAAGGTCTTTCTGGCCTGCCCTTCAAAACCAAACCTTCATGTTCTTGACATTCTTAAGCCAGAAAATCAAGATCACGTTCTATTTATTTTTTCAAAGACATCAAGCTCTCCTCAGTCCTCCCAGTTTCACTCCTGGGGATCCAAAACATCATTATTGCTGGCTGCTCTGCAAGTTCACTAAAAAGAAGATGAGCAACTCAGATGTTTAAGCAGGAAGCTTTGCTACACCGTTGTTACAGCCTACAGGAGCTACTCATGAGACTCATAGCTTTACAGTCTCCTATCAGGATTAATTTTGAACTTCTGCCAGTAAGCCACTTTGCCATCTTCTGTGGGAAACCCTCATAAACAGGAAAAAAACCTAACATAGTCCCACATGTTTCTGCAGTCATTTCAGCTGCAAGGTGACAACTCATACTGAAACAAAAAATTACAACAAGGAGTTTCTTAACCAACACTGGTTTCAGGGGAAAAAAAAAAAAAAAAAAAAGAAAAGAGAGACCTTAAGCAAGATGAAGAGGGAGAAAGGAGAGTTTAATCCACTCTACAAGAGACACCTACAAACTCTTTCCAGTGTCAGCATCACTAACCAAAGAGCACAGAAACACTCAATACCTGTAATATGCACACTGGAATTGCCTACCAGTACTAAGTGCAGTGCCTCCGACTCACTGCCAATGGAAAATGGATCATTTTCTCCTCTCCATTACCCAACCAGTGAAGCGTAAGGACAACAAAGCATTTACTTGCCCAGTTCCACATATGCTAACAGGTAAGGACCGTCAATATACTCATCTTGAATTCAAGAGAAAGGATTCTGTTCATGCTACCACTGTCAGCTGCAAGCCAAAAGATTGGGTGGATATTAGAATATACCAGAAGAGATGGGCTTCATACTTGGAACTTTTGGTAGATACAGGCTGGTCATGCAATTTCTGAACAGGTCTGGAAGCAGAAGATACAACTGGCTCCTGAGAAGAGTCTGGCCTCTCACTCAACTCGCTGCATTGGCTGTCTTGCTCCATGACCAGTCTGCTTATGGTGTACAAGCGCCTGGTCTTATGGATAATTTCAGGAGGGTCTGAGATGTCAGAATCTTGTTTCTCCTCTTCTTTTCGTTTCTTGGTTCTGTGGGATACAGAAGGAGACAGTTGCTTGGGGAAAGAAAAGTCTGTTTCATCCAGTTTGGTGAAGAGTGCATCAGAATCCCGGGAGTCAGACAGGATCTTGAAAGCTTCTCTCAGAACAGAAATCCCATACGTGGTTACATTTCCAGAGGGCCCCCTATAAAACAAACAGAACTGAGCAGGTTGTAGACATATCACCAAAGTGGCTCCAATTCACTGAAATCGGGCTGTTCCCTGAGGGCGTGACCCTCAACAACTGACCCCAGGGTACAAATAAAATCTTGTGACGAAGTCATTCCCAGCCCTTTGGTCCTCCTGCCTTCTAAACCGGGTGGTGCAGCAAGGAAGCAGGTCTTGAGGGAACATGCCCATGTGCTATTCTCAACCAGGGGTTAAGCCATATGGACATCAAACGCTGCTGCGAGAGCAAACCTGCTGGCAGCCACTGCCCTCCACCCCTGGTTTATAAAGTACTACGTATCTCCAGAAAAAAAAAAACAAACTAACTTAACACTTTTACTGTGATCCCGACAGAAATCTTATGCCGAGCACCTCTGGGGCTTGCTTTGGCAGACCTGCTGGGGCTGGCACTGGGGAAGTTAAGAGCTACCTGGACAGAAGAAACTACTGACTGGAAGAGAACTGCTGCTATACTACATCCACAGTGCAGGGCCAGATCCTTTGCTCACCTTTCTGAGTCCCTGGAAGACACTCCTGGAAGTTCTGGAGTCGCTGCTGGGTCAGCAGCTGCAAGTTCTGGAGTTGCTGCTGGTTCTTCAGATAGCTGCATCGGCTCTGATGCATCTTCCAAAATATTATCTGCTGCTATTATATGATCAGGAGTTGCTGCTGGGTCGGTACCTTCCACAGACTCAGAAGCTGTTGCAAAGTCACTAGTTCCTTCCGTAAGATCTGAAGCTGCTATGGGGTCATTTGCCCTTTCTGCAGGGCTGGGAGCTCTCTCCATGTCTTTTGCCATTTCTGCAGGCTCTGGAGCTCCTTCTGGGCCTTTTGCCCCTCCCAAGGGCTCCAGTGAATCATCCTTTGGCCCATTTACAGACTTAGGAGTCACTGATGAGTGTTTTGTTCTTTTGGCATGTTCTGAGCTCAAAGTCTTTTTAATCATCTTGGACAGAGAAAAAGCATGTAACCATTACAAAGATGATTTCTTGTACTGCCACCCAATTTCATCCCCTCCCAAAGGCATTTTAAGCTGCTACTTGCAGTTAAATCAGCACCAGGTACAGAGTTCATGCCTATCAATTAAAACTTGTTACACAGATTGAAAGATGCGTTCACCTCTAGAAACCTTTTTGGAATAGACTGATTTTGTAGTATGTTGGATTTAATCCACCATTACTTAGGTGCCTAAACTCAAACTCATTAACTGCTACAGAAGGCATGTAGAAGCCAAATTGCTGTATTTCATCGCCTCGTGGCAAAGTAAGTGTTGGTTCCCCCCACGTCCGCACCCTGTGCTGTTTTGGGAAGCCAGGTAAGCAGGGCAGACACGTACCATTAGCAGCGGGGGCTCTGAATCATCTATGTAAGTCTCCAGTAATTGAAATGTGCTGCGCTGGAAGTTCTTGTAAGAGAAGTTTCTGACCACTGGATGACTGCAATCCTTGTCCCGGATGACAGTCAGCAACTCGTTCTTTTTCTAGAGGAGAAATAAGAATGCTCTGAATAGATACAAGGGTATAAACACAGAAGCTAGGATCTGGGTGAGGTTTGGCCCCTTCATATTTGAGATCCTCCAGGCACAACTACTTTACACTGACACAAGGCTGGGAAAAGGCCAGAGGAACAGAAGAGCTACCTTGTTTCAGCAATTCTGACTTTCTGCTCCAGCACCCAAGATGTTTCAGTGCCTACAGAAAGAGGAATGGGGACTCCGGCTTTCAGAACCAACCCTTCTTACCAATTCATGCTCTACATGTGAGCTCTACATGCCTCGAGGTAGAACCCCTCCAGGTACCCCTGCTCCCCAACACCCCACAGAACATACCAGACAGTGCTCAAGCAGATGCCTCTCATTCCAGCACAGACTCACCTGGCCTTTGGGCTCCTTCCCTATATGCCTCTTGACAATTTTTGCAGCTTTCTCAAACTCTCTGTTTCTGATGCAGACAATAACAGCCTACAGGAAAAAACAAACACTGTTTTCTCTGCTGACACTGAACTGACCATACTCTGTAGATCAGCTTTCGAAAAGCGCATATGATCATCAAGCACAGCACAGGTAACAGCTTAGTACCAACTTAACAGGGAAACATTTCTACATTAACTCATGAAGAAGCATGTGCAGATACACATGAAGGTACAAATACATGCATGTGAAAATACACATCTGCAGACAAGTCAGCCCTAACAATGGTATTCCATATCTGAGGCAACTTTCACTGTCATTCACACAAGACTTTTCTAAGATAGAGTACTTATTGAAAAAGAAAAAGGTCTTACAGCTTCCTTCACCATTTCCCGAAGAGTTTCCATTGTCTCCTCAGTCACAGAGAATTCTGTATGAATGAGCTCCAGGATACCGATTGCTGATTCCAGAGGGGTGAGGTCTGACTCTTTATCAAAAGTGCAATCTGCAGGAAACCACAGCTGCTGATTTGTGAGGAGTTCAGAGTTACACCTTACAGACAGTTGGTCATTTGTTTGCTCGTTCTCACTGCAAAGTCTACAGCTACTGAGGATGAAGGTGAGTAGGAATGGCAGGGCAAGGGCCTAAACTGCAAGATCCACCCCCAGGCATAGGAAGCCACAGTGTTTTGGAAGCAACGAGGCTGAGCCAAAGTCATAACGCTGGTGTGTGTCTGGCGAACAGGACAGCCTGGGAGCTTGGGCTCAAGGCCAGGTTGGACAGAGCCTTGGGTGACATGGTTTAGTGCAAGGTGTTCCTGCCCAAGGCAGGGGGTTGGAACTGGATGATCTTAAGGTCCTTTACAATCCAAACCGTTCTGTGATTCTATGACACTGCTCTTGTCTACAGCAGCACAACGCAGGCATGAAAAGCTGTGCTCTTTAGACCCTCCCTCACCCTCAGGGGAAAGCTGCTACAACTGAACAGCTTCAGCCCAGGCTTCTGCTCTGTGCAGGAGCACAGCTCCTGGAGCTGCAGGGACACAGAATAGGGAGAGCGGGCTGCAGGCCAGCACCGGGGCTTCTTACCCCCGGGCTTTACTGGGAGCTCTGGGGACCCACCGAGGTTCTCGCCTTCCTCGACCCGTGACAGGAACTGCATCAAGCGCAGCATCCGGGCCATCGCGCGCTCCTTCTCCAGGGGCCGCACAAGCAGCGCTGCGGGACAAGGAGCAGGTTACACGGCGCTGGTACGACACGGCCGGGCC